TTTTCCTTGGGAAATTCTTACACTTTTAAGCCTTCTTTAACAATTCATCTTGTCTTGAGGATTCAGATAGATCTAATAATGTTTTTTCTGAAAATATGCCAGTTGTAATTCAGCTAAAAGGGTGGCATAAAATTTGTTCTCCATATCCTAGAGTATGCAGCACTGTTTCCTATTCTCATATTCTCAGATCACTTGACTATTCTGGTTTTAAAATAAATGCAGAAAAAGACTTTCCATATTCCTTGAAAAGTTATGACAAAGTGACAATTCTCATTTATTACTATTTTCATTTTATTATACACAAATAGACTATAAACTCCTCAAAGGCAGGATAAATTTATCTTTACTTCTCTTTGTGCCTAGTACAGTACACTCACTGCATAGTGTAGGTGCTCAATAAAGATTTCTGAAAGATTATTATATTAAAATAAACATCAGATATAGATATGTATATATCAGATGATTAGTCCTATTTACAGTATTTCCCATGATCATATATCACCTGAAGACTTGAACTGCATCTGTGTAGGACCAACTATTTTAGATGCCAACTAAATTTGCTGTTCATTTCAGCCAATTAATTGCTCAAGTTGGTCAAACAACCCACTCCTGTGCCTTTCTGATCTTCCATTTGGAATACCGTTCTAATCTTTGTCCATCACTTTCATATCTTTTCTCAAAATGCTCCAATTCCAAGAGGCCTTCCTTGCCTAACCCTACCTCATGCAGATGAGGCCTTTACTTCAATGTATTATAGTATTGCATTGTTGGAAGGGTGGGTTTAGGGGGTAAGATAATGAGGACGTGCTTATATCCTTTGCTAGTTTTAAGTACATACATTTGAACCCCCCTTCCAATTAAATTGCAACTTCTGTAATGAACGAAATCATATAATATCTTCTTAGGATCAAAAGTTTTAGAGTTAGAAGAGTTCTTAGTATAACACTCTCATTTTATATATAAGAAAACTGAGGCTCAGAGATAAGTTAAGTGACTTGCTCCAGATCACACAAGTTTAAGTAATGGAGGTAGGATTAGAATCCAGGTCATATGACTTCTTTTTCAGAACCATATTTTCTTCTCCCAAATTTAGAGATTAAAAAAAGCATTAGAGACCATCCAGTCCAGCCCCCTCATTTTATAGGTAAAGGAAGTAAGACTTAACCAGGTTAACTTGCTTAGAGTCATCCAGCTAGTAAATGCCAGAGCCAGAATTAGAAGCCCTTTCCTCCAACTCCAAATGCAGCGCTCTGTCCTCTAGTTTCTCATCATGCCAACGACTGTTACGGATATGTAGTAGACCAGGAGTGGAGAACCTGCTAGTCTCAAGCCTGCATGTGGCCCTCTAGGTCCTCAAGTGTGGCTCTTTGACTGAATCCAAACTTCACAGAACAAATCCCCTTAATAAGAGGATTTGTGGCCTTGAGGCTGCAGGTTCCCCACTCCTGTGCCTATACATAACAGTGGCTGGCATTATGAGAAACCCAGAAGAAGCAGGCAATAGCATAGTATACATGTATATACTGAGTAGACAATTAATGCTTTCTAAATGAATGAAAGCATATGTTAAGTAAAATGGTTATCATTTATGTGACCAGACATAACTTTTCTTATCATCTCTGAAAGTACTGAATTAAGAATTAGACAATTATCTAGTTAATTCAGTCTAGTAAAATAAACTTTGAAACATCATTATCACAACACTTCTAGCAAATTTTAAATTTTATAGCTATTTTCCTCAGTTCTACCACCAAACCCTCTGTACCACATACATCATTTTATGTACTCTGAGAAATTGTTTAGGAAAATCTTATATATTCTTCAATAATATTCAATATTCTTCAATAATAAGCTCAATAATCATTTTTATTAACAAAACACAAGATGGAATGAATTGAAACCTTTTACATTAAAACCTTACTAACCATGGGGAAAGGCATAAAGTTGGATTTGTCTTGCACCTTGAGAAAATCACTTTGCCCTCTGGGCCTCAGTCTACTCACCTGGGAGTGAATTAGATATCTATTAAAGTCTTTTCTGGCTCCATATCCTACGAACCTATACAAAGGTTTCTATGACTGTGAGTACTGGAATATCCTCATTAAAATTTTTGAAATGAACAGTAGTTGACATAGCATTTTCTGGCATTACAAACCACTTTCTTTAAAATTCACTCAACAGTGCCAAATGGGCCAGCTGGATAAATGCATACGATAGTCATTGTTGCTCAGAAGATTGAGGCTGGTGAACTGCATGATTTCAGATTTCTTAGCTACAGTAGGGCTATAGGATATGGAAGCAGAAGGCCACTAGGCTGCCTGAAGAAGGACATACTGACCCAGGTTGGAAAAATGGAGCAGGTTAAAGCTTCTTTGCCAATCAGTATTGGGATCATGTACAGGAGTGGCTGCTGTGTTTCCAACCCAAGTGAGATAAGGAGACCAAATCTCAAAAAAATAAAATTCAACAAACACTTAAGTGCCTACTGTGTGCTACCATGAAATAGGTAGAACAAATATATTTCTCATTGTATAAAGGAGAAGACTAAAGCACAGAAGATAAGTGGCTTGTCTAAGGTCATAGTCATAAAGAAAGCAAATGACAGACAAAGTTGGGACTAGAACCCAGGTCACTTGACTTTCCTTTTATTCAAATACATTGTCATTGCCTTTCAACAACACAATCCGTTAGCATGAGCTCTGAGAACAGAGCTAAGAGTATTTTATTTTTATTAAAATTTCATTATTCCACACTGAGATAGATGGTGGACTTTGAAGAATACTTTAACTGGTTTGCAAATAGTGAGTATGGGTAATGACTTACTTTGGAGAGATTGTAGTGACACCAGTGTTTGGATTCTTATTTTACTATCTGCCTGTCTACCTAGAGTTTTTGAGAAAGGTCTTTAAGTGGATTATGAAAGTGGCTGATACTAATGGGAGCCTAGCTCAGTACAAGGACGACACCTTCTCTACCATATTTTAATCTTGATGGATCTAGAATCTCAGAACTTGTGAGTTCAAAAATAGGTCGACCTTAACTCTAGCACATCCCAAAAATAAGAATGCTTTCTTCAACATCTCAACCAAGCGCCATTAAATCTCTACTTGAAGACCTTCAGAACTCACTACCTAGTAAAGCAACCCGCTCCATAGTTGGATGGCTGTAATTTCATTGGTCTTAATTCTGCCCTCTGGGACCAACCAACATAGGGTTAATTTCTCTTCCACATGACATCCTTTCAAGTACTTGAAGGCATCTCTTATGTCTTTTCTGATCATCTTCTCTAGTCTAAACATCTGCAGTTCCTTCAACTGCTTCTCTTTTAGCATGGTTTTGTATTTCCTCCCCATGCTGGTTGACCTCATTAGAGTGCTTTTCTGCTTGTCAGTGTTCTTAAAATATGGTGTGCAGACTGAAAGAGATATAGACTGACAAGGACAGAGTGCAGTAGAACTCTTGCCTCTTTTTCTTTTTTTTTTTTTTTTTTGGAAAAGACTGAGTGCATCTATTGATGCAGCCTAAGTTTGCATTACCCTTTTGAGACCACACTCTTAACCCTTAATGAATATACAGTTCACTATGCATCATCAAGACATGTATGGCACATAGTAGGGCATAATATATCAAGTCACGAAGCATTTATCAAACACCTATTACATGCCAGGCCCTCCGCTAAGCACTGAGGATACAAAGACAAAAATAGCCCCTGCCCTCAAGAAGCTTACGGTCTAATGGGAGGAGACAACATGGAAATAACTACAAACAAGATATATACAGGATAAATTGAACATAATCTCAAAGAGAAGACACTAAAATTAAGGAAGACCATGAAAGCCTTCTTGCAGAAGGTGGAATTTCAGCAGAGAAGCCAGGAGGTGCAGGTGAGGAGGAAAAGCATTTCAGGCCCAGTGGATGAACTATCTTGTGCAAGAAACAGCAAAGTGACCAGAGTCATTGGATTGTACAGTATATGGAGGAAAGTGTAAGACTAGAAATAGATCAAATATTGAATGGCTTTAAAAGCCAAATATAATAATAAATGCCTAACTTATTAAAATCCCTTATATCTTTTTCACATGAACTATTTTCCAGGCAAGCCTCCCTAATTCTATATTTGCATTGTGCATTTTTTTCAATCCAAGTGTTGGAATTTACCTTTATCACTTAAATTTTACCTAAAGGATTTAGTCCATCATTCTAGTCTGTCAGGATGTTATTTTTTTATCCACGTTCTTTCATCCTGTACATCAAGTATCCCTAATTGCTTCATCATCAACAGATCTGATAGATATACCATCTAGGTCTTCTCCAAGTCACTGAAAGAAATACTAAGGAGACTAGGTCCAAGAGAAGAGTTCTATGGCATTCCATTAATAACCTTCCTCCAGGCTGAAATTGATCCTTCAGTCACTACTCTTTAAATACACATTACCATAATACCGTCCAGACTACATCTTTGTAGTTTATTTACAAGAAGACTTTTATAGGTTGTGTTGTATACATGCTGCTTTGTGAAGTATAATGTGCAATTCATAAGTTAGGCTGCATTGTTTTCCTTTTTCCTATTTCAGAGATTGTCAGTATCATAAGGATTTATTTGTATTGTTGAGCAAAAGGACATAGCTGTATAGGAGAGAAAATTGATGGCACAATAAATGACACCTTTCTCTACTGTCCTTTATCCCACAAATTAGATTGGATTACAGGGTTTGATAAAATTATGTATCTTTGAAAAAGCTACGAGACTGGTACTTCTGTACCCAACACAACTTCTCTTTTCAGGATGCCTAATTGAGGATCCTTAAGAATAAGGAAGCAATATCCCATGGATATCTTGCTGTGTTTTGCATAGTGAACTCTTCATGGCAAAAGCCCAGGGAGGCTCTGCCATTAAGAATGTGCCAACCTTTCAGGCAATGACCAGCCACTCTAACAGAGACTACTTTTTATCTTCTCAGGAAAGGAAAGTCCATCAGTAAGTGATGTACCTGATGATTCAGATGAACCTATGCCTGTACCAGAAGATCTTTCTACCACTTCAGGAGGACAGCAGAATTCTAAGAATGAAAGAGTTTTGGGTAAGATAGTCTCCCTGATACACTGTTCTCATGATACTTTTTTTTTTTAACAACAATTAGAGTATTTAATTCTAAAAATTCTCCTGTCTCTCTTTCAAAGGACAATCATTCCTATTCCCAAAACTCTCTCCAAATTAGTCTATATATGCAGCCAAGGGTCAAAACTTTACCTTAGAGATCAGAGTATTAAAATTCAGAATTTTTTTTTCCCTGGGAAACACTTTGTGCAAGGGGTAGGGTGGAATCATATGTACAATGTACATATGTACAATGGGAGTTGGCTTGCATATGAGACGATTTTGATTTTGAAAAATATGATTTAAGTATCACTATTGTAGACTCTAAATCACAATGGAAAATCTCTGCTGCTCAGCGCATAAGTAATAGAACATTTTTCAGAAAGCATAAGATAAGAGGTCATAAATCTGTGAGGCTAGAGGTCATACAAAGGCAGACTTCAGAAATTTGTGACTCCTGGGTAGGTGATCAAAACTTAATGCAAGTACCACCAACACCACCAAATGATCAGAAATCTCAACATCATACTGAAAGAATTTCTTAGGATATTATGACACTTTTTCATCTGCTATGAAATGAACATCTCCAAGAGAATCCGTTTCCTCCTTGGGTCCATCTCTGCTAATGAACCATGTGTAAGTGCAAACAAAAAATCCATTCTGGTTCAGATGACTTTAGGTTGAGGTGTATCTAAAGTGGTAATAGTCACCTGTAGGTCATCTGCCTGAGGATAAAAGTCTATTAGGGTGTCAAAAAGGATTTTCCAACTTTGTACTATTTCCATCATATTGCAAAGAGCACAAATACTTTAGATGGTTCTCACTGTATATAAGTGGACTAACAGACCTCTACTAAAAGCAATTTTTATGAAATACAAATTTGCCCAAGAATGTGGGGGAGGGAAGGAGGGGGACAGATTGGCACATGGTTCAAGGACACAGGGGCAGGCACAGAGAGCAAGAGCCAGAGGAGAAACGCTCATGGGTGGGGCCAGCCACTTGGGGGCCAGGCCTGAACCAAGGAAGAAGGTGGTAGGCAGATGCGTTGAGGCCTGCACAGACACAGACAGGAGAGGACAGGTGACAGGTGGGGGCTAGGCACAGACATGCCTCCTGAGCATAGAGAGATGGAAGACAGATATGGGGCTGGGGAGTGGGGGGCTCACTGGGCAGGTGGCCAGAGTAGAGCAAAGGTCTTTTCTCTTAGCTTCAGAGGTCTCAAGCAAAGCCCCCTCTTAGGGAGGTGGGGGGTGGTCTCTCCACATGTATTCTGCTTTCATGGAAGAGTTTTTTTAGGGTTTTGAGGGGAGGTTGGAGGCCAAGGAGGTCCAATTAGAGGGACAAGAGTGGAGAGAGTACAACGTTGTACAATAAAGTTACCATAGATGTGGTTTTTTGGAATGTGGATTTCTTTCAGAATTCTTTATGTAAAGTTGAATTTGCATAATGTGAATTTACATAAGGCAGCAAGAACTGTCTGTATTTTCTTATGTCCTTAGTGTGAAATAACTAAGCAGTCATGACCCTATCACATAGTGGATATCCTTCGCTCCTGCTACCGTACAGAAAGACAAAATGAAGCTAAATATTTTCATGGCTGAGAAACAAACAAACAAAAATGGTTTCATCGTATTAGTGTTAAAGAGGCAACATACTGCAGTGAAAAAATACTGCATTTGGAATCAAAGGACCCGGGTTCAAATCCATGTCTGCCTTATACTTCTATGTGATCCTTGGCAAATAAGACTCTGTGGAACTAAGTTTCCTACTCTTTAAAATGAGAGGGTTTGAACAGATGGTCTCTGAGGTTCTTTCAAGTTCTAAATCTATGATCCTAAGTCACCCTATTAAAGGGATTTCTGAAATCATTCAAGAAAGCTAAATGGAGTGGGGGTGAGGGGGATTAAGCAAAAAACAGGTGAATCCTGTTTTTCTTACTGGTCAACAATGAGATGCAGGCATTTATAAATAAGCCCATTTGTGTACTGTTTTATATTTTATCTGGGTTCAGGTTCCACCTAAGACACATAAGGGCTATGTGACTCTGGGTTAGTCATTTAATCTTTCAGTGCTCTAGGTCAGACTCAAAGAGAAATGTCCAGAGGTTCCATTAAAACATACATAAGGGTCCCTGCAGGCTCCTTATTGAATTAACTACATGTTAATATTATCCATGTTTTATTGTGTTTTTAGTTATTTTGTTAAATATTTCCCAATTTTAGTCTGGTTCAGGCAGCACTCAGGAGTGGTGTAGGTCATGTGTAGCAGGCAGGTAGGCTGTTTGACACCTCTGCTCTAAGTAGCTCTCTGAGACTCTGAGATGTAGAGAAGGTGCCGACCTGTATTAGTAGCATTTCCTCACCTGAGAGTACCTTATACAAAGCAAATCACAGTTCCAACCTCTATCTGTTTAGACAACTATATCCATTTTATGAAATCTTTAAAGAATAAGTCTGCTTTTCTAGCCTGTAAAGTAATTGGAATGTCTCATGTCTAACCCTCGTAAAGATCCAATCAGCACAGAGTTGAGCATAGTCATTTATTGGAGAGTTTGTTTTAAGCATGGAAATATGCTCTCACTGTTCAAGGCCAGCCGGGCTTTTGAATGAATTTGTTCACTTTTTAGTGCTATTCAGCCAGTGCAACTCAATTATATTTAATAGTTTCATTCTGCTCAGCCATTTGGGAATTCATACTTTTCATAAAGTTGGTCATCAGGTTTTGAACATTAAAAATATTTCTAGGTACCCTTTCACTTTCTTTCTTTCTTTCTTTCTTTCTTTCTTTCTTTCTTTTTCTTCCTTCCTCTCATTTTTCCTTCCTTTTTTATTCTTCTTTTTCTTCTTCTTTTCTGTCTCTCTCTCTCTTTCTCAAATAATAGTTAAAAGTAACAACATTGGGTGACAGTTGATGGATCCATCTTTGTGTTTATTACTTTAATTAGAGCAAATTGCAGCTTATTCATGCTTTCTCATCCTGTGATTTTTATCCCTTTAGACAAGTCCATATTAGATGTTATGAAGAAAATAATATTTTGAAGTATATTTTCAGGGCAGAGAGAATCTATGGAATTGTAGGAGAAAATAAAGTCTGGAGTGCACAGAAGCAAACGAAAAAAATCATGGATGGCAGATCTGTGGAAAGAAACCGAAAGAAATTAATTTAGAAGAAATAAAATTGGATAAACAAGGCATTTTAAAAAACTGATGAACTAAACTCAGAAATCGCTTAAAAATTCCTGTGTCCAGCAAAATATTGTGACCTATTAAATTTTTTCTTCCATGTAATGTTATAATACATGGAAAGCAATTATAGAATCAATAAGAGATCTTGAATAGCAATAAAGGAATGAAAATCATTTTTGAAGAAGGAAAATGAGGGTCATCAGTATCAGAGTCCTAGAATTATAGATTTTAGAGCTGGAAGATCTATTTGAGATGGATTTGAGTTGGATTTGATAATCCAACTTTCTCATTTTATAGAGGAAGAAAAGTTTTGACTTCTCTAAGGTCAAATACTGGAGTTTGAACCCAAGTCTTTTGCCTTCAAATATAGAATTCTTTTCATTCTACCAAACACCTGAGTTTGATCCATGACTTCAGAATTAACTGGCTGGATGAGCTTTGGCAAATCACCAGATTGTTTAATTGGAAAGGACCTTAGTAATAAAGTAGTTAAACTCCCCTATCCTATGCTTGTGAAGTCAATTTTTTGAACCCAAGTGTGAGTCACCTAACTCTATTAAGTCTTAATTTCCTTCTCCGTAAAATGAGGGAAATAATACTTGTACTACCTACCATTCAAGAATATCGTAAGAATAAAATACATGGCAAAGGTGCAAGTGATTTGTAATCTTATATGAAAACGTAAGCCATTATTATTTTTAAAAGCAAGAAATTGTCAGAATATGGAAAATAGCTAAAAAAAATCAGTGATTCAATTTGTAAAACAAAAAGTAAATAGAAAATTAATCTTTCAATATAAAAGGGGGAAACACCTCACTTTGAAGGAGAAAAAATTATTAACAAATAGCACCAAAAAGGTTAAAAGTTTATTTTGATATGGACAAAGTGCTGGAATTCTACTCCTTTCTTTGAAACTTATTAGATGTGTGACCACAGGCAAATCACTTAAACTTTTGGAGCTTCTGTTTGCTCATCTGTAAAATGAGGGAGTTGTTTGCTAAGGTCCCTTCTGGATCTAAATGTCTGATTCTGTGATCATGCGAACAAAGAACCAAAGATAACAGGGAGAATGGTAAGTTAAGTTGGTGTAGAAGATGACCCACTGAAAAACTACAGGTTTCATTGATACTCAGTGAGGTCATTTCTATGACCAAAGTCATTTCGGAGACACCAGTAGTCATTCTCAAAGATCTTGTGAAGAATTGGGTAAATTTAATAAAAATGAAATCATATGAAAGAAATTGGACAAAGTTTTGAATTTTGATGGAAGTAAACCAGTAACATATTTACCTTTTAAAGGGGGCTAGGAATATCCCTTAAAATTATATGGAAGATTAACCCAGACAAATATGAGAGCAGAAACATGGGTGTTAATAATCACCAACAACTTTAAAAACAGAAGACAGGCTCAATATAACTTTTCTTCCTAACAGATTTGATCAATATAATTTAGCTTGACATTGGCAGGTGTAAAGTTTTGTTCTGTTTTGATAAATACATTGAAGTTTGGGGATTAGAATGACAGTTAACAATTAGAATTAGTGCTGATGGTTGGTGTCTTTATGTACCTTTTTGGAAGAAGCTGTGTGGGAGGGAGGATTTAATTGATAGATAATAGGGTTGATAAAACATGTATGTAGCACTTTGTTTTAATCTGGACTCAAATGAAATGGAGTTCAGTAGAGAAACCTAAATTGGAGTCCAAAAACCACAAAGTGAAGAGAGGGGGGAAAAGGCCTACAAAAAGGTGAAGCAATGTGTTTACTTATGCCACTCGGGGAAAGGAAGGCTGAGAGAA